ATAGGACAATATTTGGCCGAGATACAACTATTTGAAAATCTGGAATCTGAGGGTGCAAAAAAATCTAATATTGAGAAAATCATCTTTAAAGTTGTCCAAATGAAGTTCTTAGCAATGCATATTACTAATCAAAAATGAAGTTTTGATATATTTACGGTAGGACATTTACAAACTATCTTCAAGGAACATGATCTTTACTTAATATCCTAACGATTTTTGGCATAAAAGAAAAATGTATAATTTTGACCCATACAATGTATTGTTGACTATTGCTACAAATATACCCCAGCGACTTAAGACTGCTTTTGTGCTGCAGGGTCACATTTGTGCAAAAATGAAACAACATACTTATGTGACCATACTAAATTTTATTATATTTTAAATTATTAAAACATTTTGCAGGCAAATGAGTAAAACCTAGTGGTTTGAAGGATAGTAGCAAAGATTTATAAAGATTTTTTATATTTATGATTTAATGTCATATCAGCACTAATGGCAATATTAATGGCAAAATAAACTCTTATTATGATTACAATATCATTTCAATATATTGGTTACAATAGTTTAACAAAAACAGCCAACATACAAAAATTTACCTATATACTTACAATAACAATAATGAAAATAGTAATAACAATTATATAGAATTTTTCAATTTAATATGCATGATAAAAATTCTAAAATAATTCCAGGAGAAACCTTTTCAAAAATGTCCATTAATATATAGATTTTTTTGGATTATGAACTATTGTTAAAGTGAATGACATTTTAGTGGGTGTCGTCTGTAAATCATGGTAAAAATTTATGATTTTTTGCTCAGAAAAATAAAATAAAATTAGATTTTGTAATGTATGGGGGGGAAAACAAAACTTAAAGCTGTATTAAACTTTTATTGTTTGATGCTTGAAAACCCCTTTTCTTCTTTGTGTGTGTATGTATATATTTTGGCTCAACACACCCAAAATATTAGTCTGTGAAAACATAAACGTCTTGACAGCTTCTGCTCACCGGGATGATTTTATTAAATATTAAATATTAAAAAATATAAAACAAAATACATTCGCTTGATGCACTAAAATACCTAAAACTATAAATAAATAAATAATATATATACTACCACATAAACTACTAAAACCAAACAAAATTACCAAATATGTAACTAAAATTAAAATGAAAACAATATAAAAGATTTAAAATATTAACTAAACTATAATATCTCAGTGATACTAAAATAAGTACATGAAAATTTTGCTTTAAAATGTCTACATTTCAGTGTACATTTGCTGTTTTCAAATATTAAAATAACTTGCACCGGGTAAAACAAAAAACAAAAATGTAAAATATCAGCAAATTAAATGTTATTATAAACACTATAAACATGTATTTTAGTTTCTCTCGCTCCAGAACGAATACTTTAAATTAAACACTATTCAGAACAAGATGAAAAACATAAATATAGAAAACAAACTAATTACGGTGGTATTTATTATTAAAAAAAATTAATAATAATAATAATTTAAAAAACGCCAAGCAATAACAAATTTATTTAAAGCGAAACTAAAACTACAAGTGTGTGGATCAAATCAAAATATGTGCATTTTGCACGTTTTACGTACTTGATATTAAATGCATTATAGAATTAACTTCAGAAATAAAAGTCGCAGCATGTTTAAGATAAGTGTGACATTGTAATGATAAAATGTGACTTATATGCTTTTTCCTCAACAATGCAGTTTTGACCCACCACGACTTATTTTCAGTAACACATAGCAATATTTATGAATATTTTGACAATATTCACTGAACTCACTCACAAATTATTCGAAAACTCGAAATTCAGACATTTAAAGCTGAATCGCCATGTACTCACCCTCACACTGTATGGTTTTCTTTCTCAGAATAATTATTAAATATAATATAATTATACAATTTTAAATCATATTGCACTGAGTGGGACAGTGGGAATGTGGCCTATGAAGACTCAAGTATTATAAACTCACTTTATGGTTACTGGAAGTGGTTTAAGTTGGTTCTCATTAAGAGTAATGCAGTAAATCGTATTTATAGTCTTACATTTTGCTCTGCATTGAAATGAGGAGGAATGAATGGGTTCGATTTCAGCAGCCCTGCTTCAAACAGGAAAAGACACAGGAAGTAGAACATGCACCATTGCTCACGACAGCCCTCCAAGGCCTCGTGGGTATTAGTAGAGGAGCGCTTTGTCCATGCAGAGATTTGCAAGGGAGGGTGTTTTGACTGCATGCGCATGTGAGCATGAATGCACGGTTGCATACACAGCAAACGCTCCCATAAAATGCAAAGAGAATATATGCACACTACAGGTAGTTCACAGTATGCATGTAGTATGTGACATGAGCCCTACAGGAAGTGTGTGTGTGTGTGTTTTGGGTCAGACTGACGGCACGTGGCATGATAATCTGGACTCAGACACTAATGAGGGCACATCAACACTCACCGAAGACACAGACGACGGCAGGCCAGAAGGAACCTTCCGGATCTTCTTGGGCAGTGGATCTGAAACGAAAGCATTATTAGCAAGCCATCCAGACCACAAAGCTGATTTACACTTAAGGTGATCGTCGACGTGATGCAAACAAAGACACCTCATGCTTTTCAAAAACCACACTCTGTGTTGTGACTGCATGAGCCCACAAAACCATCATGCATGAGGGGAAATAGCACAAAATAAACCCTTGAAACGATACAACACACAATGCAGATCACTAGAGCTGCACGTTGCATTGAGAAATAATCATATATTGCGATAAGGCTTAGTGCACAGCCTGCCATTTAATAACTAAATATAAGTTCTAGAGAGAGAGAAACGTTACACGTTTTAGCTCATGATACATTAATTTTCCGTGAATCAAATCCATTTCGAAATGCTGAAAGAGCTCCGAGTTTTACTCTAAAAACAAACGGCGCATAATTTTAATAAACCATGGAAATAAAAGCTCAATGGTATACCATTTGAAAATATTAGTATTTTAATATTTAGAATTTTTTTATTTTACAGTACAAATTTTAAAATATTTCTCATTTTATTTAAAATGCATACTAATTAGCAATTAAAATAAAATGGTAATTAAAAATATAATTTAAAATATTATAAACTTATTTTACTTCAGCAACATTTTTCATTTTAATTTAGTTTAAGTATTAAAACAAATACACAACTACAACTTCAAAATTAAAGTGAAAATGGACAACAATAATTATTAAAATATTAAAATCATTTAAATAAAATGTACTTATATACTTAAACTTATTTTAGCTATATTTTTCATTTTCATTTAAAGTACAAAAAGAAACTAAAATTAAACAAACTAATAAATAAAACAAAACTAAAAACACAAAAATGACAAACACAACAGAATTACTAAAAAAGACAAAAAAACAAATTAAATGGAAAACAGAAAATAGAATTTATTCTAAAAAAAAAAAATTTCATACTGAATTGGTAAAAAAAAAAAAAAAATCCTCAAGTCGATCAGTCCTAATATGATTTCACAATCAAAAAAAGTCTTTATTTCTGCCTTTTTTAAAGTACTTTTTCATTCCTATGCAGATGCATTTAACAACAAAATTATTTCACTCACTCCAGAATGATTTATTCATTACACAAATAGCTATTCAAGTCATCAGGTGAATAAAATCCTGTATTTTTTACTATGTCAACAGAAACAAGGATTTATTTTGCAGAAGCCTGTACATCATTGCACATCAATGAGCTAGGAAATCTGCTTTATACAATTATACAGTTTAGTGGTCATTATACAAATATTGCTAGCAACTGACAAATCACAAGCAGGTATAAGTCAAGCCCAAAGCCCTGAGGTTGCCAAGCTCCTCTCACCTATGCTGGAGTCGGCGAGCCTCCGGCGGTGAAGATTGTAGAACTGAGAAGAGACTTTCATTCCCGGAGGAGAAAGGCCATCGCTAATATCAGCGGGCAAGAGCTGCGGCTAAACACAAATAACAGAGTTCAGTGAAGACAGACTAAAACCCAAAACTGCTCAACTACTTAAAAACAGTTCATTACCTGAGTAACGGGGTATCCTCTTTCAGATTTCCCTGCAAAAGACACCAGAAACTCTTACATTGAGCCAAACAGTTCAAATATTACACTTGCATTACCAATGGCCAGGCCTACAGAGAATCTGAAGTGAATTTCTGTTGTTGTTTACATTTTTGTGCTGCTGAGAAATCTGGAAATGCACTGAACATGTCAACTTTTGCATTTGCAACCCATTAAACTTCCGTCATGTGGCTCAAAATCTGAGCAAAACATGATTTTTTTGATGAGAATAGGTAGGAATAGATTTTATACATCTACAAATGATTGAATAAAGTTAGTCTAGTTTGCCTTTAAATACAGTAACAGAGCTATAAATCTAAAGTAACATCACAACAAATGAATGCATTAAAATTTCTCCAGTCCAGCCACAGGATTTACTGGAATTAATTTATTATTTTAATTCAATTAAATTTGAAAAAAAAAATATATATATATACACACTAA